TATCTGAGCACTGATTTGAGGCCATACTTTCTGGAAAATTTGTTTTGTAATATTTTATTGAAAATACTGTCATTATTTGTTTTTAAGACAAGAAAAACGACAACAAAATCACCTCCTATAATATAATATATTGACGGAAACAGACGTGTTCAACTATCTGCGTCACAAGTATCAACATGGCGTCGTAAAAAATTCGCAAATAGTACCCGACTTTGGAGGGAAATTAAGGAACTTATATTTATCTGTTCAAGTCCAGCGACATGTCATAGTTCTTCAAATAATCCAAATTTTCAATTAAGCTCATAAAAAAGGGGGGCTAAAATTCGTAATATAAGCACTTTAAAGGTGTTGATATGTTCTATGTATTCAGGACAATTACACAGAAGAAGATCTTGTTTATTTCCAGCTATATGAGCTGGCTCTTCAATAAGCTGTTGTAAAAAATTGCCCCCAGCAAGATCACAGAAAGTGTCGTAAAGTACTTGTCCACTGTGGTGATTTGGTTCCGACCAGACCAATTCTGGAAGATTGAAGTCTCCAAGTAGTATACAATAATAACTGGATTCGCGAGTGGATAAAAGCAAGGAATTTAGCTGAAGAAAAACGTCAGGTGCTGAATTTGGAGGTCGATAAAAGGTGTAGAGATAGACGGAGTTGCTGTTTGGTATAATGACTTTGATCACAATAAGTTCAGTATTTTCCGGTTCAAGTTCAGCATGACAAGTTGATCTAATATTGTCCTTTACAGCAACTAGAACACCTCCACCAATTCGATTTAAGCGATCACGGCGATAGATTGTATATCCTGGAAGAATTTCACTGCTGAGGATAGAATCATTCAACCAAGTTTCACACATGCAGACCACATCGTAGGAGCTGCTAAACACAAGTAGTTGTAGGAGCTGAATCTTGCACACTTTGGTGCCGCCATTATCACTACTTGCAACAAAGGCCTTTAAACTTCTTGCATTTATATACAGGACATTGAGACCATCAGAGTTACAAAACCGAGTAAAGTTGTTAGCAGGACCTGGATTAGGCAAGATGTCCCCACTAAATACCAAATTGTCAAGTTGGAATTGTTGAAGTAGATTGTGGGGAGTAGCTGATTCTTGTTTTGAAGAAGCGAGTATATGTGAGATTATATGAGCATTTAAACTTTGTAGAGGTGATGAAGGCTGGTAAGGATGAAACTTCGTCTTGAATAGGTGATTTAGAATGCAGGATGTCGACTTTGAAAAGCTTAAAAAGCAATAGAAGAGCAAAAACGGAGCCCTCAATGCCGTGCCTGCCGTGCTGGCCATCAAGATGGTAGTAGATCAGGCTTAATTGCCATTGCATTTACAATGGCAATAGATCACACTAACTATTGACAAGCAAATGGTTATGACTGTGGCATATTCGTGACAGGATTTGCGAGAAGAATTACAAAGGGGGTAAAGTTGAGAAAAGATATGATTATTAATCACTTTCTTTACTCTGTAAATATAAAGATAGTGTTCCTTTTGAATAACATGATATGAATAACATTCTTATATTTATAACAAGTGATGTAAATAATTTTTTTACAAGTAACAATGTTACATGTAATTGTTACTTTTGCAGAAACTTTATAGGCCTACATAAAAATCACAGAGCTACTTATTTTCACTGACTGAATATGATTTAAGTTGTTTGCATCTCTTGAAATTGCAATCTTTGGTGTTTCAGTACTCATAATATTCTTTCAAAGTTTCAAAATATTCCTTCAAAGTTTTACCTGTTGCCATCTTGTTTTATTTGTGAAACTGCTGAAAATATAGCAAAAATTGCAGGTGCACAATGATCAAAACAAGAAAATGGCAAGCTTGCAGGGATGTGTAATCCATTTTAAAGGTGTAAATGGGCCATTGACTGATTTTACCGAGACATCTTTGAAAATAGTTTTACATTTTTACTATGGTGAGCAGAGAGACATTGCTGAAAAGAACAAAAATTTGATGAAAAAAATTCAGTCTTTGAAAAGTCCTTTGGCTGAGTACCATGGAGACTTAAAGAACCATAGAAATTGCTATGCAAAGTTCCCCAATGTCGGCCTGATTAGATGGGCTGAAAAAGGAATGAGCAAAAAGATTGAAGCTTCAGAAGCCACTGTCAATGAAAACTATATACAAGAAAATAAGTCGACAGATGTAAATGAGCCTCACATAAAACTGCTAGGATCATCCTCGTTTTGTCATGACAGTTCTAAATCTTCGGTCAGAAATAAAGCAGTTTTGCCATCAATATGCATAATATGCAAGCAAGAAAAGTCCTTTGTCACTCAATGGGTAAATAATGTATCAAATAAACCAATATTTTATAGGTATTGCAATACCTGTTTTGTAACAGCGTAATGTTCTGTACTTAATATACCTACAATATAATTTAACTTTTGTTGTCTTACTTGATGGTGAGGAATGTTCAATTACAATTTTTCTTTCAGGGAACTAGGAAACGAGGGAAATCTTTGAATGTACTTCATGATAACCCTGAGTTTATCAAATCATTTAAAGTACTTGCTTCGACATCTGATCTTCCTGAGCAAGTAGTGCTTTCTTTAAATAAATTTGTATGTCTTCTTTATGGTGTTCAAGGCAAGTGTTCTGACGAATGCATTCTCCAGAATGCAGATAGCCTGTTTTGTACATTAAGAGAACGAACTACCAAGCAGCCATCTGGAAGAATTGTTTGCAATCGCACATTAAATGTTCAACCTCCTGTAAGGCATGGATGGTGAAGTCTGATTTGTAATGTACTGACATTTGCGGTTATTCTGATTACAGTAACTACGCCTCTGAAAATGACGGCCCAATAAAAGAGCCGGATGAGTGTGATGATAGCGATTATGATGTCTACGATACACATGAAAACTTCATAAACGATTTCAATGAAATGTTCTATTAAGAATGCAATGCTCAGCAGTGTGTACAGGAGCTAGATGGCGACCAAGGGTTTCTGAGTACGCAATCTCATGTGCCAATTTGTTATCGTTATATTATATACACCAAAGGTGAAGGACTCAATTCAATTTCAAGAATTGTTTTTGCATTTTTTAGTCTTTTTGTTCATCAAGCAGCTATTGAAAATTAGTAGCTTAACATATCATTTCAAATTAACTTAGAAAGATTTATCCTTAATCATTATGTAGCACCAATTTTTAAATATGAGCCTGCAAATTTAGCCAATTTCACACAAAGCAATATGGCGGATATAAAAATAAATGTCGAATTTTTGATGGCTCTAGCACTCTTGATTGCAAGTTTTCAGGGTTTAAACAGGCAGATTCATATTAAGTGAGTACATATCAGTACATCTATGTTGTTTTAACTTAGTCATGAATTTCTGCATCTCAACCTGAACAATAATCCACCATAGAATACGGCCTATTATGGGTAACTATGAAGTAACATTTTGTACAGATAAAACTATTCATAAAAACAAGTTTAAATTTTTCGAAAAACGAAACTATAACGCGTTACTAATGAATGACGCGAGTAAGAGTGAGAAAATAGTGTTTGTAGGCTATTTCTCTCTCAGAATTGTATTTAACAATGCTTAACATATTCCTGTGCCAGATATGAAGTTTTGTAAAAAGAAAAAAGTTATCGTATTCCATGTAAGAAACCATGGAGGCAAGGCTTAATACACTAATTGCACTGTTCAGCAGCTTGGCTATTGTACATATTGAGCGTGGGGCACAATTTCATGTTATATCCTTTGCAGCATTCTATACATTATACTACTAAAGAACAGTTACTACTATACAGTATACTACTAAAGGACAGTTATAAATCAACAAATTTTGTGAAAACATAAAAACAGCCATTTTTGGACCAAGAAGTTTGCTTCCAGGAAAATAGGAAGAGTATGGCAGTTTACCTGTATGATTTTTCCAATGAAACTTATCAACAACAAATTTTGTTTTCTTAAAAAATGCGGGATCTCGGTTCAAACAGTACTCGTGCAATCTGCTGGCATTCTCGTAAATGACCAACTCTGGCGCTAAAGAAACAAAACTACATATGCATATCATCAGATACATTCGGTTATGTTACTGCACTGACAACTCTGTCAGGCCACTACGTAACTTACCATCAGGAAAACGTGTTCGTAAAATGGTAAATGGGATATTTGGTGATTCGTGATCCCTCATTATTTCGAATCCATAACATATACCTGAAAACAAAAAGGAAGGCGCAATGTCACTTACTGCAATAGTAAAACAAATTTTCGTTGGCGGTGTTCATCGTGTAAAGACAGTGGGGACAAAGAAAACAAAATATTCCAGGGATCAAAGTGCCATTCTTCTCCTTGGGTCTAGTAACTTTGGCACAATCTCCCTGCTGTGTCTTCTTATTGTCAAGAACATAATTCCCTCATTGAACCAGTTCTGGCAGACAAGGTATATATCCAATTGATGAATTTTGAGACACAGCTGGTAAGTTGTATGGCAAATGCCACTGACCGTCCTTGACCTCGAACGGACTTATAGCCTTTTGTACTAATTCCTTTGGCAGCGGAATAGTATAATAGGAATTTCTTCGCTAGTCTCAATGACGTCAAACAGTAGGGGCACTTCTTCATGAAGAAATTTTAAATCAGTCGAAGGATTGTCTTTTGGATTGGCTCCATCAGACATCCTGATCAAGAGGTCCAAAACTTCTTCTTTGGGGTGCACAATTGCGCATAGTGGTTTGTCTGAAGCCAATGCTGCCAATAATCTTCTGCACAAGTTTGGACAACTATTGATAAATCCTTGCTTCTCGAACCGTTCAAGTAGTTCTGTATTCCAAGAGTTGTTCCATCCATCACCACCTTTTGGGGAATTTTTCCACACAATTCACAAAAAACGCATTGTCAAAATCAATATCAAGCAACCTTAATAACAGATAATTCAATAACTTAATAAAACAAGCGATCACTATCTCAATGGAATATTCATATTTTACAGCTGAAAATGAAATGATGCTTACCGTATCATGGCAATGATAGCGAGGCGAAAGGTCCGTGGGCGTTTCGTAGTAACAATTTAGTAATGTTTGTTTTTATATTTAAGAACCACATGGTTGAACGGCTTTGGTTGAAGTGAACGGCAGGATTAATTACCCAATCAAAACCCAGTTGAACAGGATGGCTCAAGAAGAGCTAATTGATATGGTCAACGTTGTTCATCAGTTCTGCGTATCTACCATAGTAATCCAGGTTGTTCAGGCTGGAATACAAGAGCTCCTCCCAGCATGGAATTGTCATACCATTCCAGGTAAATTATTAATGACAAATTGATAATCATAACAAAAAGGTAGCAGAAATTTAACAAGAAAGAGTCTGACATGCTACGGCAACAAGTGACCACCCAAATCTAATCCAAGCACCTCTCCCCCCTTAAAAAAGGACCCATCGTGAATAATCCCCGAATTCATCGGGATGCCCTATATCTTTCATTTTACCATGTTATCAGTAACAAAAATTTTCATTCTTTTGTTGTTTAGGAAAAGGTAAGCCAGTAGAGCTGATGAACAACACTTACAGGGGAGTATGTGTACTTCACGGTACTGAAATTCCCCTTCCTGAGATTGCTGTTCAACAGTATGAAAGAAGTGGGGGTCAAATAAAAAGTTTTGGTAATTTTGGAACTGATCCCTTACTGGAATTTCAACATCTTCAAATAATCAGAGACAAAGAATTCAAAAGCCGAAACCCTAGTTTTGCTACGATATTTAATGAGATTGTAAATAGTAAGCCAAATTCCTTTTTTAATGCTGTAATTAGTTTTATTAACATTACAACACACCTTTCCCCTTCAACATAAAAAATAAATATGAAAGAAATATACATAATCAACTGTTACTTTTATTTTATGGCATTAGTGCATGGCTATATCAGACAACATGGTTTTGAGTTTGTTCCGAATACATAATTTACTCATTATTGTCTCCTGCGAGTTCTCGAAGACTGGTAAGGAATTCATGTATGACAACCAATCGAAATGTGTGTGAGTAACCCCAGTCAGCTCTGCAGTTTGGACAGCATTTGTCAAAGACATTACTACCAGTCCCATACCACAGTTGCACACAGGATTCGCATCCTATTATTGAACCACAACATGTTGATGCCAATATTGGTACATCCATAGGTGCCTTGTGACATATCTTGCATGAGAAATAGTCTTTCACTAAGTTCTTTAAAGCCATAGGAACTGTGTTCTCTTTGCTAAATTTCAGAACTTTTGAAAGTTCTGCGTTGTTTTCCTTGAGCACTTTTTGTATTTCATTCAATTTATTCGAAATTTGAAGCGCACCAATGGATTTTCGTTTTTTTTTTCATACACTGCTGATAATCTTCACTGTCCTGCTCCTCTGAATCAGAACTGTGAATAATTTCTGCTTTGCTTCTCCTTTTTCTTTCTGGTTTCTTCACAGCATATATTTTTCTTGAACCAGTCTTCCAAAAGGCAGTGCCTTAAACAAAAATTTGTCATAATCTATTGACTATGTGATTACTTTGTAAAGTTGATAATCTTCATGAATTTGGCATTCATGATGAACATTTCAGTATGTATCATATCGTTTTTGCAAACTACAAGTAACATGACAATATTTGAGAATTTTACCTCTTGTTCCTGGTTCATCAATATATTGAAAGCCACCATTCGATACCAACATCAAGTTGTTCTCGTTGAAGTTAGTTTCGGCCATTGCCAGCAAGTGTGCAACATTCGCATCCTCTTCTCGATGTATTGGTATAAACGTTTGCTTGGGGCTGGAAGAATTGATGACGGGCTTTCCAGTCGGTGAGAGATCGGCGAAAAGCACTTTCACCGTTGCTTTCGGTTTTACGCTGTTGCTCTGGCTTGCATTGCTGCAGAATCCAGAGCTTCCTCCCGTTTTCGATGCGTTTAAAGCCCATGGCCTACTAGCGATAGTCGAGAAAGAGTTGGTCGCGAAGGGGGAAGCACCGAGGATAGCACGCGAACCTGGACCGTTTTCTTCACCCGCAACTTCGAAGCTTGTTCCATCATCGAATCCAACAAAGTTAAATTTTCCGCTGTCGTTTGGAAACTCCAGACGCGTCCCAAACTCTTCCTTGATGGAAATTGTGCTTGGGATGAACTGCAAATATAAGTTGAAAGTTCTTGACTTACATGATATTACATCAAGTTATTTTGTTACATTTGTAATACATACGTTAAAATATCGTCCTAATCGTTCTGCTGTTACAGTGGACTTTCTCATATTCACTTCTTTCTCGTTACAAATGAAATTGTACGATGGATCCATTGCGTAAATTGCGCTATCTGCCATTAAGGTTTCCCAGTTGACACACGTTGACGAATCTTGGAGCAATGTCAATGCAGAGCAGTGGGTGAATGAAATGTGCCGGTTGTGGAAAGGCAATGCCTTTACTGACGTGACAGGGAGACATACGGTAGCAAAGTACTTCCCGTTGCACCACTCACACATACTAATCAAAACGAACAATGGAGTCAACTTCCTACAATCAGCATAAGTAGGAAATGATAATTTAATTAAGTGAAATCAAGGAACTTTTGCAAAGAAGTAGGAAGCTAACACGTTGTTGCTCTATATCAAGGCGTTTGGGAGGTCAAGGTTCACGTCCTTTGCTATATGTCTTTGTTACTTAATTCTTATTGTTACTCTGGCTGGTAGAAAAATGAAATATTTGGTATTTTATTTTAGAAAAAGTGTTGTATCATTAGTGTATTATAATTTTTCATTGCAATTCTCTAAACATATGATATTCATTTGGTTATTTTCGACATGCAGTTAATGTCATGTGCAGAACAAAAGCGTCGCACACTCATTTCGCTTAGACCTCGAACGCCAGGATTTGCTCGTCGCAGTTCCTCGCTTATTTGCTTGTGCGTCAGCTTTTTTCTCACGACTAGATCTCTGACTGCCTCGACACTTACTATCTCATCCATGACTTTCGCGAAAAAATACTTTCGCGAAAAAATGTTGCACCGAACGACGTAAACGACAGCCAAAATGTGCTCAGATATTTTATATCGAGCATAATATCGTCATAAAATAAAGTTCTCAAATGACCGAACGCTGTAGACTTTGACTCCCCCCCCCGTTCGGCCATAGGAAGTCTGTGCACAAAGCAATGTCGCATTAAACTTATAGCAAAATTTGATGGATTTCAGAATGCGTAAATTGGTAATTCATAGGTATATTTCAACAACTCAAAATCAAATTTTTAAAGTGGATTTTACTTTTATATTAATCAAATGAAAATTGAATTCGCAAAAAAATGTGAATTCAATTTTTGAAAATTGAATTCAGGATGTGAAGTTAATTAAATATTTGTATTTGTGAATTTAAATTTTGAATGAACGAAACGCCCACGGACCGCGAAACTTGGCGTAAGTTATTTCCTTTGGGAAATTCAAATTACCCGAAGACACTTGCCTTTGTACATATGCAACATAATATTTGTACATAGGTAAACTGAATAAGAATAAAAAAGAAAAAACATTCAAAAGAGATAGGGCAAAAAAAGTGAATAATGGAAAACGTAGCTACTAATGATTCGGGATATTTTCTTTAAAAAGTACCTCGACGTTATGAAAAGCAGAATGTATTCTTTTAGAATGGCATGAGATATTGCATATGATCCAAACCATACAATCCTGCTTTCAATGCCATCATAGTGCTTTTTCGTAGCACAAGGAGCAACGTCAACAATACACTAAATAATTTATTTAAGTCAAATAATTATGAAGTGAAGCGTAACGTATAACAAATCAGAACTTACCCTTCACATCATGGATTGAATAAAAGTATGCAACTGAACACAAGTCTACGTACAACCATTTATTATGAATAGAACGTTTATCCCACTCTGCACCACAAGAACAAATACCAGATGGTGCCAAAATTTTATGACCATTTTTTTCAGGAAGATCAGTCAAATCGCTTGCATCATTCTCATTGGCTAAAATAATTAAATTGTAATACTTACAAAATGCTAGAAAGTGCTAAATACCATTCCGATAAAGGAAATAGTATATGTAAAGCTAAAAGTATGTTCACCATTGCAGATTATTTTGCATACCTGTTTCAAATAAAGAAAACCTTTTCTTTGCTAAGTGTAGCCAATTCAAAATAGACGCGCATCTCTGGTGTAATTCCACGGGAAAACTTAAAAAGTCTCAATGGAGAATCCATTTCATTCTCTTCAACGATTTGCATGGCTTTTGCAAGGGTTGTCACATGAATGCAATGATATGATGAACAGTTGTAACATTTTAACTAAGGCTTTGGCGGCGTTACTTTTGAATACACAAAAGTACAAATCCCCATGGACTGTCAACTGGTTTTACAGCAATCCACTGAACCTCCCTGCACACTGCTGTAAACAAGTCCAAGTGTTTATTTGTGCTTGTAAAGCTATGCTGGTTAACGTCCACATGTCGTAAGAACAAGGTTAACCAAGGGTCTTGTAAAAACACAGAAGGATGACTTCACGGTTTGAAATGTACAATAAACTGATATTTAATGATTAAGACATTTCCTCCCATACCACATGAAGAACTTTACATTGAAAAAATAAGCCAAATACAAATTTGAGACATTCACTACATGCAATGTCAGATTAATATGCATTAGTTTTCACATCTTTGACAAGGGTCTTGAAACAAATGGTATGCAAGTGTAAGTCCAAAGTTTGCAAAACTGTTCAGACACCTTATATCCTGAAAGAGTAACACAACACTTACTTTTTCAATAAAATCTTTGGCTTCAATACCAAACTTTCTATCATACACAACCAGATATTTTTCCATTGCTAATATGTGTATGCAACTGGGATATGGTATATCTGACAAACACAAAAATGTTGTTTGGCCTGTTTTAATAATTTCATTTCAGTAACATCTATTTTACGTACCTTTTTGAGGATCTAATTGTATATTGTTAGGTAGGGCTTCAACAATTTGCTTTCTACTTGCATCACATGAGCAGCACAATATCCAACCATAGCCATCAAGCAATAGGTTGGGATATCGATGTACAAATACAAATGAATTATGCTGAAGAAAACAATACATGCAGATTATAGCACCAAAAAAAAGAGTATTGAGTAATATCATTTAGTTGGGTATATACCAAACATTGAAATTACAAAAAAAGAGTATTGAGTGATATCATAAGTTGGGTATATACCCAACATTGAAATTACAGAAATAAAATTTGACATCACCATAATTGTTCTTTTGTTTGCATTATAATCATGAACAACAAAGGATTGCTGATGTGATACATTTGATGCAAAGTCAAACTGTAACAATAACCAGGTATAGTGGCCAGTGGGTGACAAATGACTCTGAAAGAGCAAGTATACAGTAATTATTAATGTTCACAGTTTCAAAAATATCTATTGTATTATATTTTTATGTTTGTTGAGCACATTTCTACCAGATGTTAATAAAGTTTTGCTACACAGTGTTTTATGCATAAGCAATCATCAAGCATATTGTCAATTTATAACACATTAATAGCATGACTAGTGGTAAACTGTATAAAGTATAACTGTATAAGTGAGAACTACTTGACTAAGTTGACATGGTTGTTGTAATTCCTCTGTAATAATAGAGATAGATTGATTTGTAAAGATATCTTCAGAGTCCTACAAATAAAGACCATTATTTAATTTAAAATATGTCCAGACTTTTAATAAGTGTTGAAATAATGCATGCCTTCTTTAAATTACTTCAAAATTTTTCAGTTTTTTCTAGTGAAAGCAGTCATACATATAGCCATTTCCAATGACTTTCATGAGAAACAATATCAATATGTACATTACAAACCTGTGTTTTGGTGGTTAACTCTTGGTGCTTGTCATAATTGTCAGCAATATGTCCACTTTGTTCATTCTACATATAAATGAAAAAAAACCCATGAACATAGCGTATTTTTATATCTACATAGTTTTACAGTATATGTAAGCTTACCAAATCCACAAACTCATTTTCTTGCTCAAAAAATTGAGATTCATATGACACACTGTTATTCTATTAACATATATGACATTTTGATTAAAGGATATAGAGAATCCAGACTTGAAATTGGAAAATGTACTCAGAATAATTGTTTTTCCTTACACAACATTGCAGACATGCCGACCCCAAGGAATACAAATCCTTGAGATTAATGCAGAAAAACCTGGAGATCTGGCAAAAAAACTGGAGATTTCTATTCTTGTATACGACATATTTTTAGATGGATTTATTAGGCAAATGGCAATGATTACCTCAAGTGTTATGCACAAAAATTTTAACTGGCAGCCATTTTGTGTTACATAATTATAGGAGAAAACGAAAATCAATGTCATGCCCAGTTCCCGGCGCACCGCGGCTACAATACGTTATGTTTTGAATGCTATTCATCGATTATTTCTTTCCATGCTATGAATAAAAATGCCAACAAACTTCCAAAAGCCTAAGCTTTAAAAAAACCGGGAGATTTAGTATCTTTGTCAGGAGGTCGGGAAAAATGCAGCAAAAGAGGGAGTCTCTCGGCGAAACCTGGAGAATTGGCAGGTCTGATATTGTTGGCACAAATAAATTTGTACACATACTTTTGTTAATATAACTGTGGTAATAAATATAAATTAATATGAAATTGTGCATCGTCTTTGTGTGTTTCCTTTCCTCTGCATGTTATTGTAAAAGAAGTCATTTAAGCATCTGAATTTCTTCCTGAATTGATACATTTTGCAAGTGTACCCAAAAAATAATACCCCGATTAATAAAAACCAGTACTGCACATGTTCTTGGATTGACAAAGTTAGCCTAGAATTAGTCTAAGTACCATTCTCCCAGACAGACTTCTCCGATGGATATTTAGAAAAGTACGAAGCATAGTATTGAGTGACTGAGCCCTGTTGATCAATTGCCTTGCTTCGAACTCAATTCTGTTCAATGCTGTTCGCACTCAATTCTATGGCTACCTAACAGAAAATAACCTAATCTCGTCAAAACAGTTTGGTTTTCGACTGAAATTGTCGACGGTCACAGCTTCTGCACAGTTTATTGACCAGTTACTCCTCGGCATGGAGTAACTATTATAGGAACCGTCTTTTTAGATCTGACAAAGGCGTTCGACACCGTGAATCACTCCATCCTGCTACGTAACCTGTCTCTTCTTTTCTTTCCGACAGAAACCAAGTTACTTGCTGTGGCAGAGCTCAATCTGACCCAGACACAGTATCTGTCGGAGTTGCCCAAGGCTCAATCTTAGGCCCGCTATTGTTCTGCCCCTTTTTGACTACGGCGATATAATATGGGGAGACCGGGGCAACACTACACTTATGACAGAGCTACAGATCATTCACAATAAGGCTGCGCGAATCATTTTAGATCTTCCCCCTACTGCTTCCGCGAGCGATGCACTTTAAAAGCTCCATTGGAAACCTCTAGAAAGGCGGAGAGCCGAGCATCGTGCTATTTTCATGTTTAAGGTAGTTAATAACCTTTTTATGCACACTTTTTTCACTGGTGTTTTACAGTAACTATCATAACTATAATACACGATCAAAGCGAAATATCTGCAAATCATTCGCATACAGATGATGGGGCCACTGGATAACAATAAATTTTGCAGTGGACGTTTGGAATTTCTTACCCCTTTCCTTAAGAGATGTGCCCATCTTAAGCCAATTTAAGCGTGGTATCAAGAAAGCACTATTTTAATTAGTTTCGTTTTTAGCATGTTAATTTTCATATGATGTAGTTTTATCTTCATTTTTTCAATTTGTATCCTTTTTTTTGTTTTTAACTAGTTATATTATACTTAGTTACTTTTAGAGGACCCCTCTGTAAACCACTTTTTAGTGATGTTGGCATCCTTAATAAAGATTAGCTATTATTATTATTAATTAAAAATAAAAATGTATTAAACAATTTGATTTTTATTGTAAAAACGATTTTTAATGACAAAATAATCTTTTATGAAGAAATAAATCCATATAGAAAAAGTCTTTAAAAAGATGGTGGCAAAACATATCTGACACTGGGCCAATGATGGGTTATTTTCCAAAGGGAAGTAAAACGTATCTTGTTGTTAAGTCACAGCACTTGGAAGAAGCGATAAACCATTTTGGAGGAACAGAAATTAATATAACAATGGAAGGCCATGGAATGTTGGGATCAGCAATTGGCTCCAATTTGTTCGTCCATGAGTATATGGCAAGAAAGATTAGGGTATTTGTGGAAGAAATTGAAAGTCTTTCAAAGATTGCAGAACGTTATCCCCAATCAGCGTTTGCGGCATTTTCTCATTGTATAATGGGAAAGTGGCGCTATATAATGCAAACAGTTGAGAACATCAGTGAGTTATTTCAACCTCTGGAAGATGCAATTTTGCAGACATTTATACCATCACTCACTCGAAGAAACCAATGCAATCCAGATGAGCGAACACTCCTTTCACTTCCTATACGATTTGGTGGTCTAAATATTATCAACCCAGTTAAAAGTGCAAATGAAGAATATCTTGCTTCCAAAAAGATCAGCCAATGCCTGAAAGAGATGATTGTTCAACAGAAAGAGATACTTCATAAACCTCAGTTACAGTCAATCAAAATGACTTTACGAGAGCAAAAGAATAAGAAAGTGGATGATATGATCCAGGAAATAAGAGATAGTTCTACGCCAACAATGCAAAGGAAGCTAGATATACTGAGCGAAAAAGGATCGTCATCAAGGTTAAGTGTACTTCCATTACAAGATCAAGGCTTTAATTTGAACAAAGGGGAATTTCGAGATGCATTAAGTTTACTTTATGGATGGCAATTGAAAAATACCCCTCTGCACTGCATTTGTGGAAAGGCTTTTGCAACCGATCACGCGATGATATGTCCTCATGGTGGTTTACCAATAGTGAGACATAATGAAGTTCGAGAAATAACAGCACAGTGGATGGCAGAAGTTTGCTCGACAGTTGTGAAAGAGCCACAATTACAACCTTTCTGGGGAAGTGATATTACCTCGTACAGCCAATAGACAAGAAGAAGCGAGACTAGATATTCGTGCTAAAGGTTTTTGGTCTAGACAGCAAGATGCATTTTTTGATGTTTTCACCCAAACGCGTCGAGCTACCAAAACACCAATCTACCTGCACTCTATCGTCAGCATGAGATGGCTAAGAAAAGGGAATATGGTGATCGAGTAAGAGATTGAATATGCTGCTTTTACACCACTGGTCTTTTCAACATCAGGTGGTATGGGGAAAGAGACGGCAATTGCTTGTAAACGGCTAGCTGATCTGCTGGCACAAAAGAGAAAGCTGCAATATGGCATCACGCTAGCGTGTATGCGTTGTAAACTGTCTTTCACACTGATTAGGTCAGCAATTACTGCGATACGAGGAAATCGATCTGCCTCAACTCGCGAACATACTTTAAACATTGACCTAGGTTGTTGGGAAAGTTGTCTTTACATTTGACTGTCCCTTTATCATGGATATTTTTAAACACTGATTTTAGTCATCTTTCATTTAGTTTTTTAACATTTATATTTGTAATAGATAATAATGATCATAATAACATAATAACATAATTATTAGAAATGGTAACAATAATAATTAGAACTTTGTTCTTGTCGACACAAGTCAAATAAATAAATTATTAGCAGAATTGAAGAGACGTGAAGAAGATAATTTGATTAATGGATTAACTAATAATACAAAAATATAGGAAGTGATAAAAGCGTACAATATATTGAAAAATAAAAAAGCAATAAAAAAAGGGAATTTAATTAAATTTTTGAATAAAGAAATGATTTAAGAAGGGCAGGAAATGAGGGGGTTGTAGATACAAATGATATAATGAATGATGGGGATACTTTAAATTTAGATGGTGGTGGTACTCCCTTTAAAATACCAATGATAACAAGGGGTTCAAAAGCACAACATACAACATCACAATTTAATTTCAAGATATTTCAATAATCATGGTGTAATGAAAAAGATTCAGAAATAAATGGGAAAAAATTTAATTTTACCTACTTTGATTTAGTAAATGATTTAATATCTAATAGAAAAACATTAAATCTCAAAGGACATGAAATAAAATCTATTTTTTCTGAGTTAAAAAGAAATGGAATGCCAATTTTATTTATTAAAAATATTAAAGTTAAGGAAATTTAAATAAATTCTAATGCAAGCGATACACCTGGTAGTCAATGAAGGAGAAGTTCATACACACCTATTTTATCTACACCCTCATCATCATTAACATTACGAATCCCTAGATTATATACTCCGTCATTATCAACTACATGTACATCAAGACTG